GATCCTTGGTAAATCCATATTGTTGACATAAGAAATCCATAGTCTTCTTTTGTTCATCATCTAAAATGTCACGATACAAGGTCTTGTCCATGTGGCCATTGATTTGACATAACCAGCCAGGTCCAGCATATGTAATAGCGCTCCACACCATGATGCTACCTCCTCCATGCTTGATAGTAGGCTTGACATGTCTTGCTTGCTTCATTTCACCATCACGGATCCATCCCCAGACACGTCCATCAGAGTTAAAACGGTTAATTTTAGTCTCATCTGACCAAATAACATGTTTCCAATCATCTAAGGTCCAGTTGCGATATTGATAACATCAGGCAAGTCGTTTTTTGGCATTAGCAGCAGAAATCATCAGTTTCTTCTCCTTTTTAAAGGCACCCAGACCAGATTCATGCAAAGCTCTATGGACTGTATCAACACTAACAGTAATGCTGTGATCCAATTGAAGCTGTTTTTGCACCTTAACAGCATTATCCAGACGACCTTTGGTAATTTGACGAACACAGTATTTCTTGTCAACCTTGGTAAGCATATTGGGACGACCACCTTTAGATACTTGAACATCTGGACAATACAGTAGATCTTCTTTATCTTAGAGACAGTATCAATGCTAACACCAACTTCCTTAGCCACTTGACGGCCAGATTTCCCAGATTTCAGAAGTGAAATGATAGAGTTTTGCTGTTCTACTGAGATTGCATGCATAGTTGGATAAATCTTCAAATGTACTTACTGTGATAGTTAAATAATTAGCCAAAAGTTTGAGAATGAGATTAGCTTACATTTAGGATTTATTATAAGCTCTTAGGATACTCTGATGAAGTTGTGGGTTCAAAATTTAAAAATTTGACCGATGCATGCAAAACTGTTCAAGTGTACCTCTAATTTTGATCATCAGATTACTCGTGCTACAATCGGTATTTCGGAATTCTAAAATATGATTCTGAAAATAGACAGTCACCTCTTTCCAAAACTGTAAAGAGCAGTCTTATAGGTTGATTTTTCATAAAATTATAAGATGATTTATATAAAAAACGCAAACATTCGAACAGTTTTGCTGGTCACTGTATTGGTTCCTGAGTTACATGCGCTTGAAGTCAGCCGGTCGGTGCGCCGTTTTTTTGACTTTGCCAAAAAATCGCCGAAACAATTAGCGACCACAAAACGTATTAAATAGTAGCTCAACATCTGATGATGGGAACGATGTCAAACTTTAATAGAATATACTAGAGGTAGTTGTAAATAACTACGAAAAAAAATGATGTTATTTCATTGGAAAATGACTGAGATATAGGCAAAACAAAACGATCGGTCAATTTCCGGACGATAAAAAGATACCGTTTTGCTGTACCTCTTGTATTGTTTTCTCGACAACTGCTGATTCAATTTACTCCAAATTTTTTTTGCATGCTTGTAGTTGTGATGGTAACATTCATGTAAAGTTTCAGATTTTTAGGTGCAGTAGATCATTAGAAAGCAATCATAGGAGAAAAATTACATATGAATTTTTCACCTTTGTAAGGTGAGTACTGATTATTTTTTCCCACCAGTGTCACTTTATTCATGCACTCCGACTTTAGTACAAAAAAAGGGCGTTGTTAGGCGACCTTTTATCCTTTCTACTGCATCCTGATTTTGCAATTACCCTCATCTGCGCTCTAATTAGCACTCATCACGATTTTGAATTGAATTACCAACATGACAGCAATCTCTTCTACCACCCGCCAGAATATTCAGGCTCGTTTGAACTCTGGGGAGTCTATTCGGTCTATTTCAAGACAACTTGGGATCTCTCGACGCTCAATTGGTCGCATTGCTAAGCAATTTCGCATCAGCACTGATGCTCCACATGGGCGGCCATTGGTAATTACCACTAATCTCGGCCGCATCATACTGCGCAAGTTCAGTTCTGGTGAATACAGTACCGCTGCTCATGCTTCTAGGGAGCTACAGGCGGATGGTTATCATACAGTATATCTGCTGAAACCATCCGTAACCATCTTAAAAACTCTGGTTATCAGTCCCGCAAAAAACCTGACGCACTTCCTCTGACAGTTAATCGTAAGAAAACTTGTCTTGCCTTCGCCAAAAAGTATCAGCACTGGACGGTAGATGATTGGAAACGAGTGATCTTCAGCGACGAAACTAAGGTGAACCGATTGGGATCTGATGGAAAGGAATGGACCTGGTATAAGGATGGAGAACCTTTGCGCGATCATAATATCAATTATGTATACAAGCATGGTGGTGGTAATATTATGCTTTGGAGCTGTATCACTGCTGAGGGCCCTGGCTACATTACAAAAATTGATGGTGGCATGGATTCTACAATTTATTGTCGAATCCTAGAGGAAGATTTGAGCAAGACATTATCACATTATGGCTTGACTCTTCAGGACATTATATTCCAACATGATAATGATTCTAAACACTCCTCAAAATTAACCAGACAGTGGCTGCAGGAACATGATGTTGATGTGCTAGAATGGCCTCCTTATTCACCTGACCTCAATCCTATTGAAAACTTGTGGTATTATTTGAAAGCTCAGCTTTGTATATATGATACAGCCCCTACTAGCATTGATGAGCTATGGCGTCGAACCTCTCACATTTGGTATACAAAAGTAACCAAGGAAATGTGTATAAAACACATTGAATCTATGCCACGACGTCTGCAGGCGGTTATTCAAGCCAAAGGAGGTAAAATAAAATGGTAATAAACTATGAAAGGTAAGTTTTTTAAGCTTTATTTTATTGCATTCATGTTAAGAATCTTAATATCTGTAGATCTATGCATGCTTTCAAGCTGTTTTTTTATATGTATTATAACAAATATGTGGACAATGTGTATGGTGAATATGGAGATGATCTGATCATTTGTTATAGAGATACTGATTTATTTTTTATATAAAATTAAGGTCGCCACAATTTTTTATTTTTTTTGGAAACCGACCGATCGTTTTGTTTCGCCTATATCTCAGTCATTTTCCAATGAAATAACATCATTTTTTTTCGTAGTTATTCACAACTATCTCTAGTATATTCTATTAAAGTTTGACATCGTTCCCATCATCAGATGTTGAGCTACTATTTAATACGTTTTGTGGTCGCTAATTGTTTCGGCGATTTTTTGGCAAAGTCAAAAAAACGGTGCACCGACCGGCTGACTTCAAGCGCATGTAACTCAGGAACCAATAGTTGGATTTGCATGAAATTTGGCATGTATTTAAAAAACTATCCAAAGTTTATTCAGGCTAAATTTCAGATTTTTCTCATCAACAGATCTCGAGAAAAATATATAAACGGCAAAAAATTGCATATTGTGCGCCGTTTTTTTGAGTCACTGTATCAAATTAAAATTAAACATGTTTGTAGAATCTTATAATAATTTAAAAAAAATATTTGATAATGAAAAAGAAGCTTTATTATATTTAATTAATAATGATTATATAAATCAATATTTAAAATGTAAAAAATGTAATCATGATACAAAATTAAATTTAAATAAAAAATTATATGTTTGTAAGTATTATAAATGTAGAAAAGCAATTTCACTATTAAATGGTACTATATTTAATAAATTAACATTACCATTAAATATTCAATTACATATATTATATTATTTTCTTGGTAAAGTACCATGTTCATTTATTGCATCGTCATTAAATATTAATAAAAATACAGTTTCATCATATAATAAACTATTTAGAAATCATATAAAAAATAAACAATTATTAAATAAACGAAATAAAATTGGAGGTAAAAATGAAATTGTAGAAATAGATGAAACTAAAATAGCTAAAAGAAAATATCATAAAGGTCATAAAGTTGATGGTGCATACAGTAGATTATTGGAGGTATTCAGAGAAGTAAATTAAAAAATAAAATAAAAAATGAAAATAAAAAAATATTTTTAGTTCCTATTAAAGAAAGAAATATTGATAATATAGATTTAATAATAAAAAAATATGTTAAAAAAGGAACAACAATATATACTGACTTATGGAAAGGATATAATAATTTAAAAAATATAAGATATAAATATATGACAGTAAACCATTCAAAAAATTTTAAAGATCCAATAACAGATGTTCATACAAATACAATTGAAGGTACATGGAATGGTTTAAACAAAGTATAATACCACAAAATAGAAATAAAAAAGATATTATTTTATATTTAAAAGAATATCAATGGCATAAGAAAAATAGAGAATATAATATATGGAAAAAATTTTTAAAAGATTAAATTATAAAAAAAATTGAATTTACATATTATTAAAAAAATAACTTCAAATATATAATGAATATTATTAAGCTTATAAATATGAAATGCATTTTTAATATTTATTCTTCTATTTAAAAAGACCTAATTATGTCAATAAACTAATTTATTTAATACATAATGATTATATATTATATCTAAGAGAATTGAATAATATATTATGAATGTGATTAAATATAAAACAAAAAATAAAAAATAAAAAAAAATTGAAAAATATAATATATAAAAAAATGAATGAAATATATGACATAATTATAAATAATAAATATAAATATAATATTAAACGAAGTATATTTATTAAAGATATGAAAAAATATGATTTAGTAGAATATAAAATTAAACAAAAAGATGGGTACTATGAAATTTATATAAAAAAAAATGGCTCTAATAAATGATTGAAAAAAGTATATGAATTTAAAATATATGATAAAAATAAAAATAAATAAAAAAAAAGAAAAAAAGAGAAAGATAATAATATTGATAATAATATAATAATTGATGAAATAGTACCCATTGAGAAACAATTATTATTATTAATAGTCTATGGAAATGTTAAAATTTCCATAACTGTTAATAAATAATTAAATGGTATTTATGAATATTAAAAGTTATTGTGCCCTTTACACAAGTATAGTGCAGTGTAACTTGACCATGGGTGTGGTTAGAATGGCATGGTGGTGTGCTAGTTCTAACGTCTAAGGTTAGAAGGCGCCTTCCTTTTTATAGATAGAAAATGTTGCTCTTAGCTAATAGACTGGCAAAATTAAAAATAAAATAATTTTTTATTTTTTATTTTCAGTCATTAGATTGTTTTTAAAAAGAAGCCACCAGGCGATTGATGAATAAAGAGAAACAATTATTATTATTAATAATCTATGGAAATGTTAAAATTTCCATAACTGTTAATAAATAATTAAATGGTATTTATAAATATTAAAAGTTATTGTGCCCTTTACACAAGCGTAGTGCAGTGTAACTTGACCATGGGTGTGGTTAGAATAACATGGTGGTGTGCCAGTTCTAACATCTGAGGTTAGAGGGCGCCTTCCTTTTTATAGATAGAAAATGTTGCTCATTATAAAAAAACTTAAAATTTCATAAATAAATTTATTTGAATATATTTTAAATATAAATTAAAAATATGAGACCTCTTTTAATAATTATCCCTTCAAACCATGTCATGCCTAAAATGATCAAATCATCGTCGCGTTCTAGTACTAGGAAATGCTCAGGTCGCAACTTGCCGCCGACTTGAATAGAGACATTTTTGCATACTCTGTTGAGAGCAGAGTATGTACCAGTGATCAATTCCACGCTAAACTTCGTGCTGTTGATCGGTAGATTCAATCGTTGCGCCAGGCCTTTACTGATCAGTGAGCAGGCTGCTCCGGTATCTACCACAAAATCTTTTTCTTGACCCTTGATGCTTGCACGTACGATAAGAGGGGTGGCCTTCTGTAAACGTTCTGGATCGTATGGGTAATCGAAAATCGTGTCGTCGGATTCATAGCCTGAATAGTGGTCGTCTTCGCTGTCGATTTCGGAAAATTCATCTTCTGTGGACCATCGTTCCTCTGTGTCTGCAAACACACTGTCTTCGTCTCGGCCTTCAGTGATTATGCCTTGATAATTAACTTGCAATGCTCTTTCGGGGGCCTTGCCTTTATCGACTTGATTTGTCCGCACTGGATTACTGGGCTTGGCTCGCGATTTCCTTCCGTGAATAAATCTTAATCCAGCTTGGACTTCCTTGGTGGCTTCCTTGTCTACTGCTAGCCATTGTGCTATGGTCATGCGGCTGTCCGTCTGGTCCAATACGTTCCACACGTTTGGTTTGCAGGGGCGTACTTCTAACTTCTTAGGTGGTGCTCTTTTATACAGTATTTGCGTTTTGCTGGCTGATCAACTTGCATCATCTCCTGTTGAGGTGTGCTTGAATTAGGTATGATAATTGGAATCGAATTGGGTACAGTGTTTGTCGTGGCATTCATAGTATCGGTTCTTGCGTACTTGGCTGTAGGTTGTGGCGAACTACCACTCGACACTTCTGACCTCGTGCGGATCTGTCCATTCTGTGCCCATACTCTTACGCCTTTTACCATATAAACATTTTTCGCTTCGGCTTTGTTTGTCGGACTGGCTTGTGAGGGTGGATTATTCGGGGCATTCATATCTTCTCGGGCAGTGGAGTCCCTCCCCTCTACTGCCCGCTGACTTTTCCCTGGTCTTGAGCCTGGGATGCTTGTGGCTGTCGCGTTAGCCATGCTTCGCATTCGGTTTTGATGTGTCCCCCTTCACCGCAGTAATAACATCTATTGATCCAGTAACGGGGATCCTGATCACCACCTGAGTTCGGGTTCATGCGAGGCATAGAAGCTGGTCTTCCATTCCTTTCCATTGGAATGGGTCGATTAAACTTATTTCGTACCTCATTATTTGGAGTCATGGCCTGCGCTGTTTTGGCCTGATCTTCGGGCGCCACATGCTGCACCAAATGGATACATAAATTCTGAATGCCTTGGGTGATATGGTCTAAACTTTTCATGATAGAGCTGCTGTCACTTGGAGCACGTACACTGCCGGGGTACCCTAAACTTCTTACTGAATTCGTTTCATCGTAAAATTGACCAGGTGCGGGGCTTGACAATCGGACGTTCAATCGGCAATACTTACTCATGATAGCCTCCAAACGCTTGGCTTCCTTGACTGCCATGCTAAAAGATGTCGGTCTGCCACGTTCAACCTCGTAGCCCAATTCTTGGTTCAATGCTTGGATGAAATAATGCTTCTTGGATTCATTATCCCGGATGTTCAGGCGTTGGTAAAGCTCTTCTAAATATAATTGCAATTTGCTCACGGTTTTCGTTCCTTGCTGGGCCGTCTGCAATTCATTCCACCACGTTTCGCGGTTTTCGTCGGAAATAAAGAATTCCTTAAATTCTTCCTCAAATTGAATCCAGGTGCTGATTTCGTTTTCGACAGAGTCCCACCAAGACAAGGTGAGGCCCTTCAATAACGTCAGTGCAATGATGATAATCTCTTTGTCGGTCATGTCTATGCCTTTACGCAAACGGTCCAAAGACTTCAACCAGGAGAGCGGATTTTCTTCTGCAGTGCTGTAAAATCTATCGGGGCGATCCATGTACGCCCGTAATTTTGCTGAGTTGCGCGAGAAAACATAACTTTGGTCTTGACTCAAAACTTCCTTGTCTGATAATGAGTGCATTTCTTGATTATTTTTCGTCATCGCAATGTGGGTTGATGATGACAATACTGCGAGGTAGAGAAGGTTATTGAACAGTTGATTTTGCAATTTGTAGTCGATGATGATAAATTAATAGTGAAGTATGGAACGCGTATGTATATCGGAGACGCCCAGCTTCTCCACCAAAAATGACACGTTTGGTACTCGAGAAAGCTGGATATGCAAATAGGAATAACAGGTACTGCCGGGATACCTGGTTCGATTACTATATGGAGGCTGAATGCTGCGAATGCGGTTGTTTAAGGGTAGCTTGCTGCCGTAGGGATGCTGAGCGCTGATATACAATTTTAGGTTTTTGAGACCTTAAGATCGGGAAAAGGCTCTTGTTTTATTGTGCGCCGTCTATCGATATTTATACTATGGCAGTTATTCGTCTTATCTAGTCTGGGTAACAGGCCAATATTCTATATAGGGAAATAAAAAAAAACAAAATAAAATACTAGCGGCCAAACTACTCGCTCTTTTGCATACATCTCCTTTGTCTTCGATTCTTCATATCCATGCTACTCCTTCTTCGCTGTCTATCGTATATACTTCGTCTTCTTCATTTTTCCAGTCGGTTTCGCGTTCTCTCACAACTACAATTTCTCAGTTGTGTCAGATCGCGATATATCTCCTGGCCCCTATTGGTTCGATATATGTGCGAAATAAAAAGGCTGAATCAAAGATAAAATAAAGAGATCAAAGATATAAACAGATCAGAATGCAGAAGAGAAGTTATCTTTATTCAAACGTCTAGGCTATGGATATTTATACTGAGAGAAATCTATTCTAAAAATAATAAAGAAGTATCTATTGGTTTACTTGCGATACCAATTAAAAAGTTTTCAATAAAGAAGCTAAGCAGTGACCAATGCCAACAAGGAGCGGAGCGAAGCCTAGCGGCAATTACGGTGAGCCAATGGAATACGCGGATAGCGTCGGCCAATCAGATAGAGGCCCGGAATTACATTTCTCCGTTTCTGCCGAGGTGGGAGAAGAGGCTGGACTTTTCGCTTTTTGCCTGAGCGCAGCACTGGCGGAATCTTGCTGGCGTCACGTGACTGGCTTGGCGGAACTGGAACGTTTTTCAACTCGACAGTTATTGATACGTATGGTACTTGTAGGGGTTGAACTGTAGTATGTGTACTCACATTTATATTTTTAAATTGCTCTAACTCAGTCAAAAATAGACCTATGAGATTCATACTTTCATATACAGTCATTTGATGACCACGCTTATAAATATAAAGTCACAAAGCTGGATTTACAGTCACAAAAATTTGTTTTTTCTATCTATTGACTTTATACTTTTTAATTTAAATTAATAATTTTTAGTATAGTAGTAAAAGATCTAATTTCTTTTTGAAAAATCCGAGTTCAAATCTCACTTAATGTTTTTTTAAGAGAATTTATCTTTTAATTTAGTCTTCTTCTAACTCTAGGTTGTTCATAATCATCATCTTCACTATTATCATTATTTTCATCACTACTTTCACTATCTAAAAGTAATTCACTTTCATTATCATTATCATTACTATCACTATCATGTATTTCAATGATATTTTCTATTTTTAAATTATTAATTCAGTTAATCAAATATTAACTTAAAGAAAATTATTTTACCTTCATTCACTTCAGTAACTTGCGTTAAAATTGACAAGTTCAGTTGATCTCCAGAAGTTAAAGAGAATGAAACTTCTTTTAATCCTTTTAGCATACCTTATAATAAAACAACTTATTAATCAGTCTTTATATTATATTACATAATGTACTTACCACCCCAAATATCAGCTTCATGTTTACGGCGCCATATGAATTCGACTAACTTCCATGGTAGCATTTTCTTTGTTCGCATTCTAGCACGAACATTCATTTTGATACCATTCCATGTTCCTATTAATAAATTATTATTTAATTTTATTAATACTTTGCTACAGTATTTATTATTAGTTAAATTACCTTCAATGGTATTAGTATGTGTTCCATCTTCAGCTATATAGCCTTGTTCATGATTTACAATACGATGGATATATTGATATCCCTCTTGTTGAGCTAAACCTGAATATGCAGCCCAGCAATCAGTATGGATAATACTGCCAGGCTTCACATATTGCTTAATAACAGCTAGCAAGGTTTCAGCTGTACGATTAGGAACAGTACAAAGAAAAATCTTTCGATTTTCTGTATGTTCCACACCCCCCAGAACCCAAACACCTTCAACTCGATGACCACGATGATACTTTCGTTTTCCAAATTTACTTTCATCAATTTCCACAATAATTGGATTGCCATCAGTATCAAGACCTCCTAATATTTATAGCTAGTTAGTATCAGAATATCTTTATTAAATACTAACTTACCAATTTTAACATCATCTTCCTGTAAATCTTCATGCATAATATAATGACAATCCTGAATAATAGAACTAATTGTTCTAAAATTCAGACCTGTCATAGTCTGAATTTCATTTGTACGAGCCTTGATGCAGAATAAGTAGACCACCAAAAGAGTCTTTTCAATCGAAGACTTGCGATTAGAAAAGAAGGAATCATATCGAATTGATTTTCGAGATCGATTACAACAGTTTCGCTTGGGACATTGCCATGTTAATCCTCGTCGGCCACCAAGAACAAGAGTTCTTATTTCATTATTCGGGCATCGTAATGGATTATCCTCCTCCTGATTATAGAAAACACCTTTGCTTAGCAAGTATCTATCATATATAGTATAGTACATTATATTAATAATAACTTTCTTTCATTTTATTATGAATTACTTACTCAATTGCTGATTTTTGATCCTTAATAATAGGCATCATTTCCCATAGTGTAGGAACCACGGTTGTTATTACTGGTGGCATATTATGAAAAAAGATATACAGTAATTAGCTTTGGTACATATATTCTATAGGTATAAATCTGCGAAATAACTTGAATTTATGTGCTTTCTCACTTGTTTTCTCTACTAAAGTGAGCAATTTGAAGTATAATTCAACTGCAGTAACCAATCAGAATCATTTTTTATATTATTTAATTTATTTTTTCAAACTTTTATAATAATTTTATTTAGGAAATATCTATTAATAGAACTTCAAACTAAAAATAAAAAGACTATGCATAGTTTTTTATCAGTGACACAAATTTAGACTTGATCCAATCAGTATTTCATGAGTTACAAATATTTAAAGCCAACTGATAATTAATCTTAAAGCTAAAAAAATATATACAGTCTATAACCAAAAAAAATGACAAGCGTAAGATTTGAACTCAATTTTTCCCGTTAGAAGCAAAAAGTTATTCCATTAGACCACGCGGATCTTTAATTTTAAATTTTAAAAAATATTTAATGAGAAAATATTTTTGATTCTTACCGAAGTAAATTATGTGAGTACATATAATACAAGTAATCCCTTGTAGGTGGCAGAGAACAGACAATGAAGTAAAAAGAGCGTGCAGCAGTACGAATCGCAGGGGTTCTTCTGACACAACGGATATAAACTCTTCTAAAAACACAAAACAAAACGGTGGTGACACTAGCTACAGGCTCG